TAGTACGTGTTAGGTATGTAGACATGCGCAGTACGTGTCGATTTTAAAGGCAAGCACAAACAAGCATACACAACAATGGCGGAGTACATGGTAATGTTGTTGCTGCTCAAGAGTTTGCTAACGCTTCTTCAGCAAAGTGTGGATTTACTTCACCAATATTACAACCAACAGCGGAGATGCATCATATACACACGGCAACAGGTACTGTTTACTAACAAGGTAACAGCGCCAACTACTGGCCTGGCATACGTAATACAGCGTTTTTGGCCGTTTTCGCGGATATGTGTAAACGCAAATCGTTTTGAAAACGCTGTCGTGTACACGTGAAACTTTTTAAAAATGCAAGGGAAAAACATTTCCGTTTTTGACTACATCGTTGTCGTGTAAACGTAGCCTGAATTAGGATTCTATTACTAAATATTACCAGTGTTCCTTCATTGTATATACATTAGGGTTGGAAATGTTTTTAGATTTTATCCATTACTTTGAATGTTATGGTTTGCCACAATTTAATTTATTGAGGAAATCAAGGAATCAGGGTTTTGAATAAAAACACTAGAAGACGTTACAAATAGACACAATGACAATAAACCAATGGTATAACAGTTACGAGAAAAAAATGATGCAATCTCATGCCTGCGCAGCTGATGAATTGCTCACGTGTGACATGCTCTATAAGAATCATCACGTTGAACATATCGCTAGTATTTTGTGGCTATTTACACAGACTGTGCCTTATTGCGTTGGAAAACATGGGATGCAGACAGTGGAACAGGAAACACTTAAGGTTATGAGACGCAATTGTGTCATGCTTTCAGACCGCAGTTTTAAACGAGATGCAGCTAAAAGCGCCAGCACACTGAACACGTTACACAGAAGAAAAATGTTTAAACTACCACAGTATTTCATGCTTGTGTGATGGTGACAAGATAAAAGCTGCGTTTTTTTTTTTTTTTTATGTTTACTGTTAATATTAGTCTACTTGTGTTATACTTTTAGTCATTTTGAAATAGAATTGCCTTGACTTTTTGAGTTGACCTCTAAATGACTGAATGTCTACATTTTGGATTAAAAATATTTAGTAGTGCTGTCAAACGATTAATCGCATCCAAAATAAAAGTTTTTAATTACATCATAAAGTACACATTACACACACATATACTACGTAAACAAAAACTTTTATTTGGATGCGATTAATCATTTGACAGCACTGATATTTAGCTTTTTTTATATTTAGATTTATTCTAAACATACAAGTTTGTACACTATTTGCCTTCATATTTAAGTGAATTTGTCTTGAATTTACATCATTTTGATAACTTCATATGTCCTATACTTGGAATAAAATCATCTTTAACCAGATGGTTTTGTTTCCATCCAACTATTTTTATGTGCATTTTGGAATATCGCATTAAAAACGCTGGATGGAAACACCAAGATGTGCATAAATTCAAAAAATGTGCATAAAAAAACGTATGCGCACAATTGAGTAGAATAAACTTTTTATCCGATAAGAAAAAAAAAATGCGCATAAACTACGATGGAAACACTTTTACCGAATAAATTCCTCCATGCGCATCAAAAAAGACGATGGGACAGCATAAAATCTCATTGCACAGCATCTGAAATGCTAGTTTTGTCATTCTAAAATGCTTGTGCAAAGTCTCGCCAAAGTGCTTCATTATAATTAACTCCCAGAACTGCATTCCCAAACAGCATGCTCCGAAAATAAGATAACATGAACACGTTTCGTCTGCGCACTCTGAAGCTTCAATGATTCAGAGTCGACTCTTTCTTTTGAGAGACAATAACTTTATACACGGTGCACTTTCAGATTTAAAACTTTGCAGGATGTTTTCATTCACTTAGAGCCGTGTTACACACTGCATGAAAGGTCATTTTTAAAAATCCATAATAGGGGCACTTAAATTTTTCTTCATGATATTTAGCGCAAGTTAATCAGGAAGTGACGATTTTGGATAGAAACAGTGCTTTATTCGTAAATATGTTATGCGATATTCCAGTTATGCGCATGAGTTAAATTCGCATCTTTGGATGCAAACATAGCTAATGTTGGTTGAATCATGTTGTAGTTATATTTTTAAGTTGAATAGTTAAATGTTTTTTTTTTTTTATTAATTAAATTTGTTATCTTGAACCATTTAAACGTTCTGGGGGAAAAATAAAAATAAAAATAAAAAAGAAGATTTTTTATTTAGCCATATCACACAGCCCTATGCAGGACCACATAAGCTCAGACATGAACACAATTTTCGTGCGATATCAGATATGTCTTACCAGAGTCTGGAGGCTGTCTGTTCCTGTCTATCTTTCTAATGTCATCTAAGGTCACGCCGTCCTCACTAAACAGTCCTCCATGCATCACCTGAAACACAATTCAGCTCATGCTCAAATCCAAAAATACAAAGTGGTATAAATGCTGAATCTGATGGCCGGCCTCGTGTCATACCAGCACTTTGCTATTGATGCACTGTGCGAGAGGAAGCCACTGGAAGACTTCACTGAAGAGCTGGAACATCTGGGCGGTGTACTTCGCTTTCACCTCACCCTCGAAGCCGTACATCTGATTCATGTTATCCGTCTCGTGGTTACCTTCACAAAAAAGACATTTCAGATCATGACATTTATCCATCACACACAAACATGTTTGGGAATCTGTACTAGGAAACGCTGGTGTGTCCTCACCTCTAAGCAGGTGGAAGTGTTCTGGATAGAGCAGCTTCATCAAGCTCTCGCTGGATCTGCTCCTCTGCTATCAACGAGAGGAACGTCTGTAGCTACTTCCTCAACAGACAACGAAACAGCCACTTTTTGGTTGTTAAAAAATGTGCGCTTGTTCAAAACAGTTGCATTCAATCCTTCGCTGGCTATAGGGCTGTCGCGATAGCCGCAATATCGCAATACCGCGCTATTGATGAGCAAACCGCAGAGGAATGCAAAAACTGCAGCAACCGCGATTTTTGCGTGTTTTCTTTTTTCGTAAGGTTATGCCCTTTTCGTTTTACACTTCATGCATGTGGACTTAACACCTCTTCCAGCAGCAACCTAGTTTTCCCAGGAGGTCTCCCAACCAGGTACTGACCAGCTCAACCCTGCTTAGCTTCAGCTTGGCGACCAGTCTTGGGCTGCAGGGTGATATGGCTGTGGCCAAATGAAAAAAATCTTTTAAAATAGTATTAAATTCTGAAAACCTTTTGTCTTCCAAGTCATTGTGGTATTTATTTGAACTAAATAACTATGCTTGTTTGTTTATTGGTTGGTTGGAAGGTCTATTTTTTAGAAATGAGAATAATCTGAAATGACTACAGAAACTGAATAATCAAATGGAAAAAAAAACAACAACAACTTGACTGTATGAATTAAATCTACATAGATATTTATTACAGCCACAGAAGTTACTCAGGCCCAGTCCACAAGGAGACGTGTTTAGCTGTAAACATAAAAATGTTGTATCGTGTCTGCGTTTTGTCCAGACGGATCCGGCTTTTTTGCAGCCTGAAACTGCTATTTTTTTAAACCGGGTCCCAAAGTGGATAAATCTGAAAACACTTTTGCGTTTTCATGTGTACGGCCTATCCGTATATTTTGTGAAACGATGATGTCTCGACCCTAGCTACGTCACATAACAGCAACAACAATGGCGGACTACATGCTTGTGTTCGTGCTGCAGAAGCTACTGAGCCTATTAGCTTTACTAACTTTACTAGCTTTTCTTGTTGTTGTGTTGGGTTTGTATACAGCACGCAAGGTTCATGAGCATGCTCCAAATCTTCTTCTCTGTTTTTAGTGTATCTCTGTGGCAGAATTACAGTGCCACATACTGGTCTGGCATGTATACTACATCAGTCGGTTTCAGTGGTTTCGTGTGTACGCAGATATTTCTTGAGACAACGCTGTGTTTACGGTGTAATACAGTGAGTGACTTTCTTTTTGTCTTCTGTTGTCTGATTAACATTAAGGTCAGAGATGGAAGCAGATATATTAGGCTGCTGTCACTTTAAGAGCTAATGCATGGATGTAATATATTTAGGCACATTCTATTTTTACCCAACTGTTTACACTCATTTAAGACAAAGCTGACTCTGTTTACGAGTATACTCACCCAGACAGGCATTCTGACATTTTTTGTGAGCATTTGACCATTTAAACACAATAAGCCATGAAGAAGAAATCAATTCAGTATTCAGACACTGTGCAACTTTATGTGTGGCCACTTTGAGTGCGTGATCGCAAGACATTTCTACAGGTTTATTCAATATAAATTTAAATTTATGCATTTAGCAGACGCTTTTATCCAAAGCGACTTACAGTGCATTCAGGCTACACATTTTTTTAATCAGTATGTGTGTTCCCTGGGAATTGAACCCACGACCTTCTAACGCAATGCTCTACCACTGAGCCACAGGAACATTATGATCATATCATAGGAACACATAGGAACATATGACCGATATATCGCCCAGACTTAAGTAAACAAATAACAGATGAACAGTTATGTTTCAAGATCTGTGTGCACGTATTTGAAGAGCATTCACCTGGTAAGCACACTTTCTGTGCAGTTTCTTCTGGTCTTTGAACCAGGCCATCAAGTCTTTCATGAACTTCAGTGTAACCTTCCCATCTTCAAGTTTAGGTCCATCATAGTCATCCTCGATTGCTGGTGAAAGAGAATATATATTAAAAAAAAAAAAGATCATAGGATCTCTAAATCATAAAAAAATCATCAATAATTTATATTCTGAAATCTTTTTCAACTGCAAAGAATTGTCCAGTTATTTTCTTCATTTTCGCAACAGGTCAACGAAAAGACCTAATGTCATCATATAATTTCTCAGTACCACACACTTTTGCTGCCCTGTCGAGACAAAACATTGTACAAAAAATTTCATAATAGCTGACCCTATTATTAGCATTTTTCTTAGGTCACCTTATTGCTACAATATTATAATTTTTCCTTGAAAATAACATCAGCATTTTGCGTAAATGCTCTGAGCATATTGGGAAATAAGAAAAAATCATTTGCACTTCATTTTAAGGTGTCCTTGTTACAGTGTAATTACACAAGTAAGTATTGAGATGATTGCTAATAATAACATGTAAGGTTATGTTTAGGGTCGATTGCCTGTGATTAAGCATAATTTGCTCCTAATAACTGAAACTTCCTCAAAGCACTTACTCATGTTCTCGATGTCTAAGGAGTCTACGACTGATCTCTTGAGCTCGTCGCTGGCGATGGCCCGTTCAAAGGCCTTCTGTTTGACAATCTTGTTGCACTCCTGGTACTTCATCTTGGCATCTTTGTCACTGGGACGAACTCTAACTACCTGTTAGCAATGAAAAGACAACAGCGCAAAAAACTTTTACAAAAAATAAATAAATTAATTTTAAAAAGTACGTCAAGTTTTTGTGCTGAGCTAAATGTTGCGGCGGCAGAGCAGGTACAAAGACTTGCTGCCAATACATCCACAACATGCTGCTGTGAGCATGTAAGAAATACTGCTGCTGCACATACAACACGTATGAATAACCCCCATATAGTATATATATATCAACAGAAAACCAGAAATTGCTTATTTCAGCTGAATATTTCTGGATGCAGAAACTTCAGTGCATCAATATGTATCTAAAAACACAGTATTAAAGTGCTGAGAATATACCGAGTCTCACCGTTTCGTAATCTTTGAGTGCTGCTTTAAACTTGCCCAGGGCCATGTTGGAGGTGGCTCGCCGATAGTAGCCCTTGATGTAGTTCTTGTCCAGCTCCAGGGCCCTCGTGGCGTCCCCCAGAGCATAGCCATAGCACTCGGTGCGCAGGTACGCCAGACTCCTGTTACTGTAGTAGACGGCATTAGACTTGCTACTGCCAATACATCCACAACATGCTGCTGTGAGCAGATAAGAAATACTGCTGCTGCACATACAACACGTATGAATAACCCCCATATAGCATACATGATCACCCCGTAGCAGATCTATACAGGTGGAGCTGGGGAAGGTGGAGGGTTTCTGAAGCAAGCTGCAATTGCTACAAAAATAACCAATCAGCTGCACCATGTGATGATGTCAGATTGAGTCAGACCTTTCTGACTACACCATCTAGAGTTTCATGCCACAGCTTTGGATGTATTCTCACACAGCCCTATATACTTTGATTATTTTCATATAAGAAATGACAAGTCAACACTGATTTAGAAAAGAGATGTTTTCTGGAGGTGGCTCGCCGATAGTAGCCCTTAATGTAGTTCTTGTCCAGCTCCAGGGCCCTCGTGGCGTCCCCCAGAGCATAGCCATAGCACTCGGTGCGCAGGTACGCCAGACTCCTGTTACTGTAGTAGACGGCATTGCTGGGGTTCAGCTCCAGTGCGTCCGTGTAATACTTGATGGCGTTCTCATAGTCTTTATCTGAAATAACAGCAGGAGACTATTAATGAATATGAATCATAATACATCACAAAGCATTGTGCATACGCCACTTTTGAAGAAAGAGTCAACACTGTGAATAAGTGCATAGAAATGAGCAAAATATTGAACTATATCGAACTAAAATGTTACTGTCACATTTTAATGATGTTAGAGACTTACCAAATTGACAATCCCAATAAGTTTTAAGAGGGTTTTTAGACAGAGATTTAAGTCATTAGAAATTATTACTTAAAAGTTATTAGTAAGTACATTTTAGCATACATTACCACAGAGTTATTTTAGTATCACTGAGATACTATTATAGTTTTATTAGTATTTTGAATCAGTTTGTATTTTAAATTTAGGTGAAGTTTTAATAATTTTGTTTTGGTAGTTATAGTTCAGTATATATATATATACACATACAAACATGTCTGAAAAATGTAAAGAGGTGCTATAAACTACTACAGATATAATAAATGAGTAAAATTATTTTAAAAATAATTAGGAATAAACTGTGTGAAAATGAACAACATTTACTGCACCGGGTCATGTAACTAATTTATTTGATTAATTTATTTTAGATGCTAGAAACATGCCACGGTTAAACTAATGTTTAACGTTCTTTGGAAATCTGCAGAAGATGAACATAAGAAAATACTTGATTTTTCAAGACTAAACGATATGAACAATGCAGACATAAAATGCAAATAAAGTACATCCATGAATGAGGACAGATCTGGCGCCATTGACTAACGAGAGTGTCATAAATCACGTGCAATGAGTTTACGGCCGTGTAATCAAATGAATGTGCTGTTCTCAGAGATTGCAGAGGTGACTGAAACAGCATTGTCACGTCTAGACTGACAGCTCACGAGAGAAAATCATGTTATCGCGTCTCTCCTCGAGTAAACGGATCGTGACGATAAACGTAGATGAGAAGAAAGTGTGATGCTTCACGAGTCTGCCTGATTCATCATGTGTTGCTCATGCTCACCTCACACATATTTCCCTCTTATAACGCTCACGATGCGACAAACTCATCCCGCGCAGCCCTATCCTGTCAATATCAAACCCGTCTCTTATTTACACTAGATATCTGACAAGCTTTTACCTTTAAAGTAGTTATTCGCCTTCTCCTTGAGTTTCTCTGCACTGGCATTCCGCTCTTCTTCCGCCATCTTCTCACTGCCGTATTCCGTCATGCTGCCGTGTGCGCGCGGAGAGCTGTCGCAAACACCTGCACGAGGGTCGTGAAACGCTGTACGCCGAACTTCTAGTCTAGAACAATCCAGAGCAACACAACACCTCATTACAAGAATTATAACCGGTTACATATTTGTATATAATATGAACGTGTGCAAGTTATTTGCAAAATGTTGCCAATCACTTTATTTTCACTGTCAACATTAATTTAATTGAATTAATTTTTAAAAAAATCAATGAATAATAAATTAGAAAAGAAGATGTCGTGGTTAAATGAGTGAAGTAAAACTATACGACACTTCTGAAATTACAACTTGTCTGATCTGAGCAAATAATCAAAAGGTGAGTTTAGTTAGCTGTGTATGTGTAGGCTATTGGTTGAGCCTGTAGGGGGCGCAACAGCGCTATTTTACAGGGTTGAGTGGGTCATAACGAATGCTTCGTATTATTTGCTTTTTTAATTTGTTACATTAAGCACAAAATGTTTATAAATCATGTTGGCAGTATTTTAGATGGTTAGATGTTGCATTAATGCCTGTAATAGGCTACTTCATCTTAAATACTGAGTAGCTTATGTGAGCTTTTAAAAAGGTAGGATATACTTTTCATAATAAAAACTTAAAATAAATTTTAAATATTGGATGTTTCTCTTCTTTAAACAGACAATATAATATACATAGGCTACATTACAGAGATGAGTTGTTACTCTTTAGGTTGCCAGTGTGTGGATAAAAAAAGTTTTATACCTTTTTTAGAGTCACATCAGTTTTTATGGGTTTTATGATGCATCTCTATATTGTTTGATACTTGGTGTTATTGTTGTTTTTAATTGTTTTATGACATTTTATCAAGTATTTGTATAATTTTTAAAAACGTTTATAAAAAGTGATTTAAACGTTTTATTCTGTGATGTTTTATATGATCCGTTTAAGTGAATGACAAGACAGTCCAGTGATTTAAACAGATTTGGCATCCCTTTTACACGTTTTTTTTTTTACATTTTTAACTTTGCATCTAGGATGAAAAACAAACCACTCTCACTTCCCATAATTTAAGCACACAACCTCTTTTATAACATAAGGAATTAATTTCTCAACAAAACAAACAAATAACTCGTAATAGGGAGCAACATAGCAGACTTTGGGAGGGAACAAGGCCAAAATAAATAGCAAAACAACTCTAACTGAAATTAAAGGTTAGCCTGGAACTCGAACAATGAACTAATTACACATGCTTCCCTACCTAACTAACAGGTTACAGACAACGTACCAACTTCCCTCGCATGCACCAGTGGTTAAGATGATAGGAAAAGAAATGCACCAACAGAATTCACATTAAGAGGGAAGAGTACTTGCAACAACATCACCTATGTCAAGACAAGTGTGAGTGATTTGTATAGCACTTCTCACGATACACAACATTTCAAAGCAGCTTTACAGAAAGTCATAGCATATGTCTATTGAGACGTACACACTGCAGCTAAATTCAGTTGTCAGTTCAGTTGCTTGATCCTGTTCTGTACACATTTACAGGAGTGACAATTGCAGTCTACAACTGAATTAACAAAAATGCAGGTAGTGAGTAACCACATTTAACAGAAATTCTACGCAGTGTGTACAGAAACGAACTGAACAGCTAGTGCTTAATGACATATTCAAATGTGTATCAGAGTTGTGTCTCTCTGCTGTATACGCAGTTCTAGAAATCACAGGGAAAGTGGTACGTCTTGACTCATTAGTGTTGCCATATCTTGCTGGAAAAAAAAAGCAAATGAGAACAAGCCCACAATAAACTTAAACACTTAAAAAAAAAAAAAAAAAATTATATTGTGACCTGCACCTGCCTACTTTATTATCTCTATAAACTGAATCACTTTATGAGACATTCATTTGGCATGATCGATTGATAAATAAAATGTTAAAATGTTTCCCAGCTTCGCTGACTGTCTGCACGAGTCGGGGATATATATCTCCTTTGATTAAAGGCACAATATGTAATTTTCGCCGCTAGAGGGCGCGTATTCAAAACAAACAAAGAGACAAAGGCGTCCTTTGATGACGCCGTGACTGAGTGTGGAATCATGGGAGTTGTGGTCTTCATCCCCACAGCCGATGCAATCCGACGGGACTCGGGCAGAAATCATGTTCATGGATGAGCTAATGATTTATTAACGTAGTAGAATGAAGCAGGGTGAGGCTGAAAGCAGTCGAAGTGAAACGAGGGTTTTATCACTAGATACTTTGAAAGCTCTATTATAATGCTACTCTGTGCGGTCGTCACCGGTCTAATAAAACACACAACATATTAAAGCGTCTTTGGTGTTTCCATGTTTTCTACAAAACAAAACCGGAAATCGAGGGGTTTTGACGTCATTAGCAGGCGACACAATGACACTATAGACACGTTCCGTGTCACTAGTTAAAATTGCTTATTTCTCTGGATTTAAACATTCTTCGAAACATTTGGGATAATGTAAGTACACAAGTCAGCAAAATATATAACACTGTTCTAGTGGTTTTTGGATATTTTAATCAAAAAAATCTTACATATTGTGCCTTTAACACAGTTCATGATGATGGACTGACACAACAATTCAGCTGTTATTTTACTAAAGATTAGTTCATTTGCTTGGATTTGCCCCTTCAGTTCCCCAGCAAAAAACCGATCAATCAATATGGAGGTCCAGTTTGTCAAATCAAAGAGTGACACCAGATTACAGGTTTCTGCTGTCCATCATGTCCAAAAGCTTTTTGATTGGAGAGACTTGGCGGGGCTTTAGTTCCAGTAGGTTAAGAACCTCCGAATCTAGATATAGCTATGTTGTATTTATTCTGAGTAGCAGTGCCAAATTGTCTCAGCATTTGAATGTAGTTAAAGTTGCAATTAAACGGAAACGTCATCTGTCATTTTCACTAACTAAACATTACACAATAAATAAAAGCTAGACATGGCTGAATCAACCACAATAAGATATTTACAAAATACATAGGATGAATTTTCATTTCATGCCAACTTTAAGATACATATATGTGCATATATTACTAATCAAAAATTAAGTTTTGATATATTTACAGTAGGAAATTTACAAAATATCTTCATGGAACATGATCTTTACTTAATATCCTAATGATTTTTGGCATAAAAGAAAAATCAATAATTTTGACCCATACAATGTATTTTTGGCTATTGCTACAAATATACCCCAGCGACTTAAGACTGCTTTTGTGCTCCAGGGTCACATATGTATATAAGCACTGTATATCTGTCACATGTATTTGACAGATATACCTGTCTAATTTTCCTCCATAGCTCCTGATTAGTTCACACCTGTTTTCTGTTCCTTTGATTACTCCTTGCATATTAAAAAACAAAACAAAATGACCCGTGAGCCCTTACTGTGTTCCTTCAGAGCAACTTCACTGTCAACATACAACAGTGAGTTGAAATTGAATAAAGTAATGAAATGTAAAAAATAAAGCACTGTGTAGTCTTTACTGTATGAACTGAATATATATTGATACTGAGGGCCGAAGTAGCCTCTTGTGCAGAAAGCCTTCTGTGGAACAGCATCATTTTTGCAGCTCAATACACTTTAACTCATTTTTAGTACTGAGCATGTCTGGCAGGAGACTGTTTGACTGATGTGGATGTTTAAAGGAAAGGCAGTGCTTTAAAGGAAGTGAACAGAATTAAGAATATATAACTGTTGGAAGCCATGAAACTAAAACTCTATTAATTGCAAAGCTCTAGTCTAGTCATTCAATCGTCTTTGAGAGCAAGGGGGCCCTCTGGTGGTTCAGGGGACCTACACAATAAGTACTTTGCATATAGGGAGGACTGGCGCTGGCTTTGACCCATTGAAGCTTTCTGTAGTGATGGAGAGCTATGGCAGAACAAGCAGATATATTGTAGATTTAAAGGCCATCAGCTTAACAATGGTGGCTGAGACCATGATAGTAGGGGTAACAAGTTAATATTGAAAAGAACAGGACCAAGAACACAGCCCTGTGGGACACCTTGAGTGAGAGGAGGAGGAGTGGAAGATTTCAAGTCAGGGACAGCAATGAAGTGTTGTCTATCAGTAAACAAAGAAAGAGCAGTACCCAAGATGCCTACAGCTGCAAGACAAGAAATAGGTATGTGATGGCACATGGTGTCAAAGGTTGTGCTTAAACCAAGCATTATGAGGATGGTAGGACAGCCAGAGTCAGCAGACAGAAGAAGATGTCCTGTGGTCTGAGTGAAAACCAGAATGATAAGGATCAAATAGACAACAGAATGCAGCTGAGAAACAACTTTTTCCAGCAGTTTAGAAACAACAGAAAGATTAGACATAGGATCTTTAAAACGGGAGGGATAACAGCAGTTTATAGTGACAGACCTAAAGGAAATAAAGCAGTTCATCAAGTTAGCAGTGGGAGAGGAGATTACAGATAAGAATTGCTGGATCCAACTAACAGGAAGATGAGCTAGTTTTTATTTATTTTTTTAAATTACTGTGGATCACTAACAGAAAATGGGTCGGTGAGAGTAAAGCTAGGCACTGACAGAACAGGGTTTGGAGGATATGATGGAGAAAAACTCAGACAAAGTGGGTGGAAATTATTCAGATTTTAGTGGTAAAGGTGGTTGGAGCCAAATATATGAAGTTCTGGGTGGTAAGTTTACTGACAGCGGGAAATGCGGTGAGGAATGATCTTGTGGGGTTCACATGGGGTATCTTTTATCTTAATCACAGACTGGACATCTGACGCATACACTATAATCTCTGAATGTTTGCTTATCCATGATTACAGCACCTCCTGCAGCAGTTAATGAGACTGGATGGACAGACCTTTATGAGTTTTCTGTCTGTATACGAATGACATCTCGGGATTCATAAACCTGTGGCTCGTTCACAGACTGATTCATGGTGGCTGACTCTTATAAGCATGTGTCTTTTTCCTAAAAATAATCAGCCTCTTTGTGACACAGACAATCCATCATTCCTGGACCTGAATGATATTATGATTCAGTGTCAAAAGTCTTGGTCAGTTATGTGTGAAACTCACAAACATATCTTTGAGATGGTCATTCGTGCAGACGGGGG